GATAAGATAAAAAGTTTAGAAGAAAAAATTAATCATCTAGAAGAAGAAAACAGGAAATTAAAAGATCAACAGAATGGACAGTTAACTGCTCAAATTGAAGTTAAAGAGACTAAAAGATGATCTTGATTGAAAATAAGAAAGTAATTTTCCTCTCTATAAATTGAAGCTCATTCTAACTATCAAAGAAAATGGTATTTATTTTCCTTTTAAAGATTTTAGCTTCTTATTAGATAATAATGCATTATCATGATGTTTTCTTTTTCCAACATTTATGATTTTTCTTTCTTCTTGGTAAATTTCATAGGTAATCCTTTCTTTCTTTAGATAAGCTTCCAGCATCTGAGTATTGTTTATTTTGAAAACATAAGGAGAAATTTTCTCGCCTTGTTCTTTCTTCAAGGTACTTCTAATAGTGCTATAATTCATGGGTTCCATGGTAGATCTAATATAAATTAACTTCATATTAACTATTTTGTATAGGGATAGTTCTATATATCACTTAAGATAATGAATGGGATATTATAAAACTGTTAATTATGATCACATTACAAATGACTAAATTTTGATCCCTGAAATTTTTGGTAACACTAATGTTCACTTTGTCTGGTTTTGTTGCAGCATCCCCCATATATAAAATTTACTAATAAACTTTTTTTCAACAATTATAAAAATAAAAATTGCATCTTCTCATTCAAAAAAAAAAGATGCAACTATAAAATTAAGTGATATTATAACAAATATAATGGTTCACATGATGACAGAGAGTTTTTTTTAATTTTATTAGTAAAATCATCCAAAATGTTAAAAAATACTGTTAAACTTTGAAATGTATAGGTTCAATAACCAAACAAGTTAGAGTAAAAAAATTTCCATAGTTTTTTCTCTGTGATTCAAAGAATAGCCTAACAGAGAGTTTTGAATAGTATATACAATAATAATAATAAATACAGAAATAATTAAATTTTATTACAAAATTAAGATTCATAACTACATATCTAAAAAATCACATGCAGGACTTTTATAGCTTCCATATTTTGATTTAGGCTTTGATGGTTTTTCTAAGGAAGCTGGCTTTAGAGTAGAAATTTTATAACTAATGTTATTTCCAGTTTGTAAAGTCACTAAATTGCACAAATTAGAATAAAAATTTAATGGAATATTATGTTTTGAACAAAAATAATTATTCATAATTAATGAATAATTGATTTTTTTTAATCTGATTGTTCTGTATTATCTCTATTAGATTCAGTTTGATATGACTTAAGTAATGTTAATTCTGATTCTTTATGTTTGTTGGTGTTTGAATGTTTTTTGATTTTATCTAGTCTAAAAACATTTGTACCCTTTGAAAATTTTGATGTTCCATTTCTATTTCTACAAAGTTGCAAAAAATTAATATTTCTTGATTATTTTCTTCAGGTTCTAACCATGTATATTTGCTGAACCATTCTAAATCATAATTTAGAATTAGACTCAAGTATCTAAGTCTAAAATAAGTGGATATTTTCTATCCCATGATTTATTACTTATTCCAATTTCTTCTTCAATATAATTAAGATTGTTATTCCACAATCTAAAATTCCACATTGATAAGGAATTTCACCAATATAATAAACTTCATCTTCAAAAGAGGTTCCATAAAATTCAAATAATCTGTTAATATTGGTTATTAAATCAATTGGAGCTTGATAATATAAAGAATCACCAAAATAATTTTTTTTGGTATCTAAATCTAGTTTTACAACTCCCCAATTATTATTATTTATGTGTATAATTATATAGATATTTTTAATTTTTTCTGATAAATGACCTAATAAATTATATGCAATATCAAATTTTCCATCGCTTATACAAGTGTATAAATATATTGGAGCCAAAATAAAATTATTATTTTTGTTGTCATCATCTTTGAATGCTTTAAATATCCTAAGTACTGATTCAATAACCATATCATTTACATAATTCTGATTTGCCAAGGTACATAAATCTAAAATAGTTACATTTAAATTCTTTCTTAAATTATTATATAATCTATTAGTATTTAAGAATTTTTCTTTCAATTTGTTGACCTCTTCAATTTACTGTCAACCCAATTGATTAAATTTATGAAATTAGTTTGAAACAACATTGCTGTATGCAAGTTTATTATTTTGTTTAAATCACAGAATTTGGCTATTCCAAAAGAAAGTATTTTAATAAACATCTGATTTCTTTTTTTTTCTTTTTTTCCATCTTTTCCAATGTAGTCATTTATTTGATCAATTATTTTTCTAATGTATCCCAAAGGTGGAATTGCCAAGTCATTTTTAACTATCTCCTTTATTGTCAATTCTTTCCCAGGATCGTTTTCAAAAATTTTAAACTTCATGGATGATGGAGCAAGTCTTATTTTTGGGAAATTTATTTTAATGAATTTTTTCACATAAATAGAATTAATTAAATTATAACAATTTTCATAATAATTTTCAAACCTAAATATAATAATATTAGTAAAAAGTAGTAGTAATAGCAAATAATTAACATTAAATATTATTTGCTTACAAATCATCGTCAACTAATGTGATTCTTTCGTCATCTTCTTCTTCAATGATAATTGCATTCTTGAAAGAAACAATTTGATTTTCAGTATTCATATTGAAAAAGAATATATAAATATATAAATATATAAAAAAGGTGAAATTTTAACTAAAATAAAGAATGATTTTTTAATATAGAATTAATTCCGATTGAATATTTTTGATATAAGAGAGAGAAAAAAAGATAATTTTTAAATAAAGAATTGATGTTTTTGATAGAAAAGAAGAAAAAATTGATTTCTAAATAGAGAATTCCGATTGAAGAAAAAAGATGAAAATTAATTCCGATTGAATATTTTGATAGAAGAGAAAGAAAAAAAGATAATTTTTTAAATAAAGAATTGATGTTTTTGATAGAAAAGAAGAAAAAATTGATTTTTAAATAGAGAATTCCGATTGAAGAAAAAGATGATTTTTAAATAGGGAATTAATTCCGATTGAATATTTTGATAGAAGAGAAAGAAAAAAAGATAATTTTTAAATAAAGAATTGATGTTTTTGGTAGAAAAGAAGAAAACCCAATTTTTTAATTCCAATTGAATATTTTTAATAGAAAAGAGTAAAAAAACTGGTTTTTTAGAATTGATTCTAATTAGATATTTTTGTTAGAAGAGAAGATTATTGTTATAAAAACCAAATTTTCAATTTAATTGAATATTTTTATTAGAAGGGAAAAAGAAATGATTTATTAAAGTTAATTTTAATTGAATATTTTGTTAGAAAAGAAAACCAATTTTTATAAAACGGACTCGGACACTTTACCGACACCCACTTTACCAACAAGACACTTTACAACACGCGACGTGATATTTTAGCATTTTTTGGTTTGTTTTATTTGTAGAGATTGAATGTAACCCCGCGTGTTGTCGGTAAAGTGTCCCAGACCCCTACCATAATACTAAATTAATTTTTGTCATCCTAATTATTGTTATTATTTATTAACGTTAATCCGGTAATCCGTTAACTACCGGATAAGGTCTTAACGGGTCGTGACACTACACGATTATTTGACGTCTTTAGATAATAATTGCATTATAGCCAATATCAATCTAATCACAATGATAATAATATTTCAGACCCTGATAATCAATCAATTAATTTAAATCAGAAAAATCGAAAATTTACAACAGCAACCATTGAAATAACGTTTTTAGATTCTTCATTGTCAAAAATCCACTTGTTAAAGAATTCATTAGTTAAAAAAAATCAACCAAAACTTTTTTTCTTAATTAAAAAAAAAAATCCTTTGTCCTAGTGTTTATTTATTTATCTCAGATTAAAGGCCAATTGGATCGATTAGATGTTTTTTCAAGACTATAAAAGAATAATTTACAAATTTCTATTGTTTAAAAAAAATCAATTGAGCTTTTCAAAAAAGATAATCGATGGATTTTATTTGTTTTCTCCGAAAGGAAATTTAGCAATTTTAAAAATAAATTTCTTCTTATCCAGATCATCCATCTCATCTCAGGATTGGCAATAATGAGTTTGGTCTGATAAAATACTAAATATGGTTAAAATATTTCACCAATGAATCCATCCCAATCCTCAAATAGTCAATCAAAAAAATTTGTATATATTATTTGTTTATCGATCATTGAATTTACTGATGATAACGACAAAAAAAAACATTAAAAGGTGCTTTTGAATCCCGGTCTCGTGACCAGAAAATATGTTAACACGTTGTATTGCGAGTCTTTGACGATCTGAGCCATCAGTTTTTGGCCATTTTGAACGTACGAAACGTCAAATCAAAACGAAACCTAAAGGTAGACAACGTGGACACTGCGCAAAAAGCATCTAAAGCGAAACATGATTTCCTAATATCCGACGTTTGAACAAAAATAGATAAATTTTTCGGTTTCACGAAACATGACAAATAGATACCAATGGCGAAATAATTATCATTTTTGGAAAACGAAATATTTCTGTTAAAATTTCAATTAACAAATTTCATCCTTTCACAACAATTCAGTTAAGCAACAAAATGTTTAGAAAATTCGTGATTCGTTACCGTAACTGCACTGAATTTACCGTTTCAAACTGAGTAAAATTTAGAAAGGAATAGTAACACGGCAAACGTTCCTTTTATCTATGTTAATAATGGGTTATCCTATATTATTCAAGGATAGCCCGGTAAAAAACTTTACCGGTGCAAACATATTTTCATCTACTGTCAGAGTCACATGTGACAATATTAGGCCTTGGGTCTTATGAGCATTGAGGTATGTACATCGTTAATTCCAAAGTTTTCAGCGGTTTTCAATGTTTATTTTAGTAATGTTTTCATCTTGGAAATGTGAACGAACATTTCTGATCTTCTTCTTGATTCATCTGAGGGTGTTGATGCTGGAGTTGAGGTTGATGATGTTGATAATGATACTGGTTCTTTTTTTTGATTTTTTGTATTTGATTTGTTGTTTGAATTTTCTCTTTGGAGGTCCTATTTTTTTATTTTCATTTTGTGCAGCAAATTCTCCTGAGACAGAGAATATTGCTGGTGACTTGGTTGCTTCCTACCATTTGATGTTGTATATGTACATGGGACCATCTGTTTACTGGTCACGTCAGTAAACGAATTCTATACGTTTTTTTTCTTGAAGTAATTTTGTTGGTCTTCTTTTTGTTTAACTAATTCTTTAGAGAAGGAACCGAACAAAGGCGTAACTAGTAGGTCACGCATGTCAAGTTCTTTGTTCAAAATTTTCAGATCCAAGTTTGTTGTTTCCTATATGAAGCAAAAAAATACATTGGTTGATGTATTGCATAAACAACTATTCTTAAGAAAAGTTCCTTACAAATATCTCAGGCCCAACATTCAGAAATCTTCCATGATTGAGTTTTCTTTTATCTCCTGAATCATTATTTCTAAATACCTTGAAATTTATTAATCATTGTCTATTCTACTGCAAGCAATACCTGTATAGATCTTCTCTCCGCTTACACTCTCGAATAGATGCCACTTTTGTAAAAAAAAATCAAAAAAAAAAGATTTTATTTAAGAAAGAGTGTGAACCAATGAAATATTAATTATATTGGCGGTTAGACAGGACTTTCAAACAAAAAACTTAATTGTTATCAAAACATAAAAGAAAAAAAAAGGAACAATCCATGATTATGATTTTATTTTCTTGTCTGTTTTCATTCTTGTTGCAAATCTTTTCTGCCGCCATTATAATAAATAATAAATTGTAATAATGATAACAGATCATCATCATCTTTGCTCTCGCTCGCTCTCTCCATTCTCCCTTTAATTAACAAATCATACATCAAAAAGGTTGATTAGGTTTAATAGGGTCAAATCTATTAGTGGTCAACGATTTATTAGGGAATCAAAAATTTTGTGTTTTTCTTACGTACTCGTTCAAAAAATAAAACCAATACTTGTATATATACAATAAATCTTTTATATTAAAAAAATCGTTAAAATATTATAAACTATAAAAGTCAGTGAATAATTTTTAAAGTTAAATATCAATTGATTTATAAAATTTCGTTGAAGTAGACAGTTTATGTTAGTATATATTATGGGTCAAATGATGTTCTTTTTCTAATGTTATTGCAAACCTTAGGGTCAAGTTATATATTAAACTTAATTTTACTCTGGGTCAAATCATATAACTGAACCTATGAAGTTTGCAGGCAGGTCCTGTCCGACCGCAATAAATTTTATTGGCTAAAATTTATACACGTGGTAAGTGAGACGCTGATAGAATTTAACAAAAAAATATTATTATATATAAAAAAAAAATATTATAAATAAATCATCTAAACTTTCATTCCTTAATCTTTCGTTTATTCTATTATTAGACAAGATGGTACACGAATCTTTAAATTTGTAAGTTTATGAAAATTTAGTTTGAAACAATTTTTTAAAACAAAATCTAATTTTATCATTTTTAGATACGCAACAGATAATTCGTATACCATTGTACCCTATTACTTTGATTCAAAAACTCTTGCTCAAATCTTAGTTATAAATAGAGAGAGAGTTTAACTTTTTAAAATAATATTTTTTAATCAATTCTATAAATAAATTTATATATTAACTCTCATAATTCATTTAATGATTAAAAAAATCTAATTATAAATTTAATAATAGAATGATAGTTTTGCAATGGTTTCGATTGATATGCCGGCTGGTCCATCTGAACTTTTAGTGATAGCTGATAACACAAGTATTCCAGCATACGTTGCATCAGATCTTTTATCACAAGCTGAACATGGGACAGATTCTCAGGTGGTTTTGGTAATGGTTTCAATTACACCTGAACTTCTTATAAAAATTGAACAAGAAATCAATGATCAAGCAAAAAAATTGCCAAGAGTCAATATAGTAAGCGAGTCTATTCCAAAAAGTTTTATTTTACAAGCTGACAATATGGAGGAGGCAATGAAATTTTCTAATGACTATGCACCAGAGCATTTAATATTGCATATTGAAGAAGCTGACAAATGGATTGATAAAGTGGAAAATGCTGGTAGTGTTTTTATTGGTACCTATTCACCAGAAAGGTAATTGAACAAAAACTTTAATAATTAATTAAAACTTTCATAACTTAGTTTGATTTCTATAATAATAATAATATTTTTTGATATAGTTGTGGTGATTATGCATCAGGCACTAATCATACATTGCCAACTTATGGATATGCTAAAATGTATTCAGGAGTCAACACTTTGACATTTGTAAAACACATTACATCTCAAAAGTTGACAAAAGAAGGTTTAGATAGACTAGGCGACACTGTTATGAGATTAGCTGAAGTTGAAGGGTTAAAGGCTCATAGAAAGGCTGTTCATGTTAGAATTAAAGATATTAGTAATCAAAATTAAATATTTAATTTATTTATATGGTTATGAAGTTATACCCCAAGTTATTTGGGCTCTTCACCTTTCAAGTTGCTTGAGTTTCATCCTTGACAATTACAATTTCCTTGATTTCTTAATTTTTAAATTTTGTTGCTTCTTTTTCGAAATCTTCTTTTCTTTATTAACATAACTTTCAATAATTGTAAATAAATTTATTGTAAAGTCTATGTTTTATTAATAAGTGCATTTGTGTTATCTAATTTTTAAATTACAAGAAAACGAGATTTTTACGTATTAATATTATATTAATATTAATGTTAATATTAATATTGATGATGGACACTGAAAATAATCCATTGACAAACAAACAAAAATGGAAAAGAATCAACAGAAAATTAGAGGAATTTGATCAAAGGAACCCCCAGCAGATGCGAGCGATCTCAATGAAATCCATAGCATAACGAACCACCCGCTTGAATTTTCATTGAATCGTGACTTAAGGTTGGAATAATCTGGTTTCGAAAGTTATAAGTAGAGTAATATGATAGACATGTTGTTTTCTTTATTTTATTTTTGCTTGAAGTTCACTCGTTCATGGTTTGTTAGCCTGTTTCTCTCCATAAATTGTATTTATTGTATCCAAATTCGTCGCCAAATTATGACCTGATTTTTCGATCCAAAGTAATACGTTGATGAAAAGTAAGACGGTTATTAAGTTTACTAAATAAAATGAATAAAGCTCTGAAAGAAGGAGCAAGTACAACAGTGCTTGGTGTATTGTTTTGTCAAGGTGTTGGAGGAGTTGGTGGTAATGCCAGAATTGCCACTAAATCAGAGAAATAGTAAAATAGAGTTAATAGATTTTAACGATAAGCTAATCTTAATGTTAATATTAAATGTAAAATTATAATTTTGTGTATTTTAACAAAAAAAGTGTCAACTGCCAATATTAGTTAGCATCATTAAATATTTTTGGTTAAAAAAATTTCTATATAATAAAAAAGGAGATTCTATTTTTGTTTCCTTTGTTACACGAATTGATCTCGGATTAATTTTCGTAACAATTAAAATAATCGCACATTTAACATTAATAATCAAACAACAACAATGGCAGCTTCTCAATCCCAATTAGTTTCTCTTCTTCAAAATACGCTTGGTACGCTAATAGGGAAGCAATCAATGTATATTGAAAGCTTATCTGAACCTGTTAAGAAACGAATAAAAGCTTTGAAATATTATCAACAAGAACACGCGAAATTAGAAGCAAAAGCTCAACAAGAGATTTTGGCTATCGAGAAAAAATATTCGGAACTATATAAACCTTTATATGAAATTCGTTCAAAAATTATACGTGGAGAATGTGAACCGTCAGAAGAAGCTGTGGAAGCAGGAACTAAAATAGAAGAAGAGGAGAAGGAGGACGAGGAGGACGAAGAAGCTGAAAAAGAAACTAAAGAAAAAGGCACTGAAGAAGAGGACGCTGAGCATAAGGATACTGAAGAAAAGAGTACTAAAGAAATGGATATTGAAACAGATACTCAAGAAAAAGGGGCTGAAAAGGACAAAGAAGCTTGTAATCCTGTTAAAGGAATTCCTGAATTTTGGCTTACAGCCATGAAAAATGTAGAAAATATTGATAGTTTGATCACTGAACGTGATCAAGAGGCATTAAAATATTTGGTTGATATCAGAATGTCACATCTTGAAGAAAAACCAGGCTTTAAATTAGAATTTGAATTTGATGAAAAGAATCCATACTTTACAAACAAAATTTTATCAAAAACTTACTATTATCAAGAAAAACTTGGATATGGTGGTGATTATGTTTATGATCACGCTGAGGGTGAAGCAATTGGTTGGATATCAGGGAAAAATCTTACTGTAAAAACAGGAACAAAAAAACAAAAAAATAAAAGTATTTATTTAATTATTTTTAATAATAATTATCATTAATGATAAGTATCATCATCATTATAGTTATTATTACATTTGTTCATTATAATATATCATTGTTTTTGATTATGATTTCTAGATACAAACAAATCTCGTATAGTGAAAACCACAATACCAGTAGAATCATTCTTTAAATTTTTCAGTCCACCAAGTAAACCATGTGATGATGACGAGGATGACGAGGATGACAACAACAATTATGATGATTTGGAATTACTATTAGAAATTGATTATCATCTTGGCGAAGAATTAAAAGATAAACTTATTCCTCATGCTGTTGATTGGTATACTGGTAAAGCTTTGAAGTATGAAGAAACGTTTAATTGTAGTGACGATGATGATTTTGAGGAAGATGATGAGATTGATGGTTTTGATGATGGGTTCGATGATGATGATGATGATGATGACGACTATGATGACGATGATTATGATAATAGTAACAATGACAATGTAATTTAATATTTTACATATATGTATTATTTATTCTTTTAATCAACCTTTACTTATTATTATTAATATGTTTTATAGGCAGTTGGAAAGAATGGGAAAGTAGGTAAATATCGAATTTTCAATCAATTTTTAGGTGATTAATTGAATGATGTATTTCTTGCTCTTTATTAATTTTTAAAAATTTTTTTATAGAATTACCTGAATGTAAACAACAATAATAATAATTGAAATCTATATACATTGATTGATGTCAAATTTTAATATTTTACATATTTCATTCTATTCCGTGAAAAAAAATGTATAATTTTTTACTTGGTTTGCTGTCGAAATTCAAAAATTATATTTTTATAAAATTTAAAACTTCTTCATTTGATGTTTGTGCATGTATGCTGGCAGAAAATCATCGTTCCTGCAATATCATCGTTTGTTGGTGCTTCACACTTATTATTTTTAGATCAAAAAATTCAAAGTTATCATGAAAAATATATATATATACGATATTATACTTTTTTTTTATTTATAAAAAAAAAAATATTATTTTCTAAATAAAATCTATTTTTGAAATAAAAAATAAAAGTAAATTTTTATATGAAGAATTGAAAAATGCAAAATATGTATAAAATTAAAAAAAATCTAATTACAATATTTTTTTTTAATTTTTATAACTTGTATCAAACATTTTTAAAAAAAATATAAAAAATTCATAAAATAAAATATTCTTGTTAGATATTATTACCAATGTATATTATTATTAATATTATTGTTGAAATTATTGTTGTAATTAAAATTGTTATAGTTGCTATAATTTAATCCACCATTATTGTTATTGTTATTATTATTATTGCGTATACCATTATTATTATTATTATTATTATTATTATTATTATTATTAGAATATCTTGAACGACCTATCATTCCATCCAAAAAATTGATCATTTTAAAATTAAATATGCAAATAAAGAAAAACAGATCATATTATGTGGCACATACCATTATTAACGCTACCACCAGTAACTTTAACTAAATCTAACAACTTCGAATCAACTTTTTGATTAGCTTCTCTTAAAACATTTATCAAATATTTAGCTTGTCTCTGGTAAAGCTTTGAAGTATGAAGAAACGTTTAATTGTAGTGACGATGATGATTTTGAGGAAGATGATGAGATTGATGGTTTTGATGATGGGTTCGATGATGATGATGATGATGATGACGACTATGATGACGATGATTATGATAATAGTAACAATGACAATGTAATTTAATATTTTACATATATGTATTATTTATTCTTTTAATCAACCTTTACTTATTATTATTAATATATTTTATAGGCAGTTGGAAAGAATGGGAAAGTAGGTAAATATCGAATTTTCAATCAATTTTTAGGTGATTAATTGAATGATGTATTTCTTGCTCTTTATTAATTTTTAAAAATTTTTTTATAGAATTACCTGAATGTAAACAACAATAATAATAATTGAAATCTATATACATTGATTGATGTCAAATTTTAATATTTTACATATTTCATTCTATTCCGTGAAAAAAAATGTATAATTTTTTACTTGGTTTGCTGTCGAAATTCAAAAATTATATTTTTATAAAATTTAAAACTTCTTCATTTGATGTTTGTGCATGTATGCTGGCAGAAAATCATCGTTCCTGCAATATCATCGTTTGTTGGTGCTTCACACTTATTATTTTTAGATCAAAAAATTCAAAGTTATCATGAAAAATATATATATATACGATATTATACTTTTTTTTTATTTATAAAAAAAAAAATATTATTTTCTAAATAAAATCTATTTTTGAAATAAAAAATAAAAGTAAATTTTTATATGAAGAATTGAAAAATGCAAAATATGTATAAAATTAAAAAAAATCTAATTACAATATTTTTTTTTAATTTTTATAACTTGTATCAAACATTTTTAAAAAAAATATAAAAAATTCATAAAATAAAATATTCTTGTTAGATATTATTACCAATGTATATTATTATTAATATTATTGTTGAAATTATTGTTGTAATTAAAATTGTTATAGTTGCTATAATTTAATCCACCATTATTGTTATTGTTATTATTATTATTGCGTATACCATTATTATTATTATTATTATTATTATTATTATTATTATTAGAATATCTTGAACGACCTATCATTCCATCCAAAAAATTGATCATTTTAAAATTAAATATGCAAATAAAGAAAAACAGATCATATTATGTGGCACATACCATTATTAACGCTACCACCAGTAACTTTAACTAAATCTAACAACTTCGAATCAACTTTTTGATTAGCTTCTCTTAAAACATTTATCAAATATTTAGCTTGTCTAGCATTATCAGTGGTGAAAAATGAAACTGCCAATCCTTTTGCTCCGCCTCTTCCTGTCCTACCAATTCGATGAACATAATCCTAATAATTTGGATAAATTAATAAAATTGGTATTTGGCATATGATTTAAAAATATCATTTTTTTTTAAAAAGAGATCGTGCGTAATATTATTACCTCAACATTGGTAGGAAAATCATAATTAATCACAAGTTTAATGTCCTTGACATCTATAAAATAAATAAAAAAGGTTAAATAAAAATGATGGTGAAAATTATTATAAAATTCAATGAATCCACAAAGTATTCCATAAATTCATATAAAAAATCAAATAAATCAAAGAAGGAAGGTACTTATCCAGTCCAGTGTCCAAATGATAGTAATATTAATGCAGATGAAAACAACAACAGTGTAGTAATTTCAGCACATATAATATCACAAACATTTTTTTCAACAGTGCGAATAATAAATTTGCACCATTAAACAGACGGCCAGACAGACAGGCAGACAGACAAAAAAACAAATGATAGAAGCAAAAATAAAATACAGATATATGCAATCCCTAAATGCCAGGTATATGAGCAGCTGCAGGCAAAATAAAAGGTATCGATCGCATTATTTCCTTTTTAAGAGAGAATGAAGCTTCTTTTGGGACCAAAAAAAACCAACATCCATGAATTTCCCTGTATAAACACACACACGTGTGTGTGTGTGTATATATATATATTATGAAGTTAAAAGTCAACCTCACAGATATCAACTCCACCTTTTTAATTGTTACCCGAAACTACCAAAAACCGGCAAAAGGGACCTACACACATGAAGAAACCACACACATACATATATAGATACTACAGTATACACACACATGAAACAAATATAAAAGGTGTTATGTTTTACAAAAACACCAATTATGTATAAGTAAATAAAAAATTTTCAAAAAATTTGCCAACTATACCGATTCCTCTAGAAGCAACATCAGTAGCGACCATTACAGGAGATTTACCACTACGAAATTCACCCAACACCCAATCACGTTCATTCTGAGCCTTATCGCCATGAATTGCAAGAGCTGACCAACCATCTTGACGTAAATATTTAGTAACATCATCTGCTGTACGTTTAGTGGCAGTGAAAATTAATGTTTTATTTTCATTTTGATTCATAGTACGCTCAAGGTGTTTAAGCAACCTGGATAAGTAAATAAATACATATTTATCAGATAAATCTAATAGTAATATTTAAAATAAATAAATAAATAAATATAATAATAATTACATATCGCGTTTTTGATATTCAGAGCAGACTTCAACAGTTTGTGTAATGTTGCGACCAGCTGACAAGTCCATAGAACCTATATTAACTTGAATAAAATCTTTTAAATAATCTTCAGCAAGTTTTTTAACTTCTTTGGGCCATGTTGCACTCCACATAAGCGTTTGACGATCAGGTCTGATTTGGTCAACAATTTTACGAATTTGAGGTTCAAAACCCATATCCAACATACGATCAGCCTCATCAAGTACCAGATAGGTAACACGTTTAAGATTGGTTTTTTTTGTTTCAAGCATATCTATTAGCCGACCAGGAGTTGCTATACAAATTTCCACACCATCAGACAACTCGCGTGCCTGAGGTCCTTTTGGGACGCCACCATAGACACAAGTATTTTTGATGTTTGATGATTTGCCAAATTTTCTACACTCTTGTTGAATCTGAAGTGCCAATTCACGTGTAGGGGCTAATATTAATACTATGGGTCCATCTCCAGGTTCAAGATATGGTTGTGCATTGATATGAACAATTGCTGGTAGACAATAAGCCATAGTTTTTCCTGATCCGGTTTCAGCAATACCAACCAAATCACGACCAGAGAGAGCCATCGGCCATCCTTGAGATTGAATAGGTGTTGGTGCTTGAAAACCAAGACCCAATATTTCTCTTAACACATAACCTAATGTAGATAAATTAAATCAATTAGAAAGATAATTTTTATTTATAATTTTTATTTTTGAAAAAAAATCGTGTAAATAAGTAATATTATATTATTTACCAGGAAATTTTGCTTCCTCAAAAGTTTCAACAGGTTTTGGTATGTTGCGACCAAAAACTTTCATCTCATGTTTCTTACGAAACTCTTCAACTTCAACTTCAGATCTAGTTATTACATTAGAATGTTCTTGATAAAAATTTTTTTCAAATTTTGAAAGACTTGCAACATCCCAATTCTGGCTAACTAAGCTAGATCCAAAAGTATTATTATTGTATGAATATGTTTCTGAATAATGGTTATTGTTGCTATTATTATAAACCACATTATTGTTGTAGTTGTTATAATCTCTATAATTTGTATTGTATCTTTTTAAAAAAAATATAGTTACATAAGAATAAAATAAAAATTAACTACAAGAAAAAATTACTAAATAAAAAAATAATTACTCTTTACGATCTCTCTGACTTCCATAGTCGTAATTGTTCGTTGAGTAAGGAGTAGAACCTTTGTTAGCGTTATTATTATCATTATTAGTAATGTTATTATTGTTGCTGTTGTTATTATTGTTACGAGTAAAACCATTATCATCATCCTTACCATAAGGATTTAATGCCCCATTACCGTTATAATTATTATAATTGCTATTATTGTTATTATTATAGTTATTGTTGTTATTATTGTTATTATTATAGTTATTGCTATTGTTACTGTTATAGTTATTTGAGTAATATGTTGTTTGAGTATAATGAGAAGATTCTAAAGGAGCAGGAGCATTATAATTGTTATAAGCCATTTTTTTAATTATTGCTTTTTATTTTTAAAAAAAAATTTTTAGGTAAAAAAAGATTTCGGCTACAACGGTACACATTTATCATCATTATTATAATCCCTGAATACATTCGGGGATATTACCCTAGTTGGAAATGGGAAATCGAAATCTAGATCTTAATATTAATTAATATTAATATTAATATATATAAATAATAAACACAGGTTAAATATGTGGTTCATTATCATTGTCAACCTTTTTAATTTCCTGAACTCTAGTTTTTTCCAATGAGAAAATGAATTTGGAACTTGGTTAATGAAAAATGTAGTTAAGAAGAAGTTTCAATCTATTATAAATGATTTAGCTTAGGCTTTAGTCAATACTGTGAAAGTAGTGACAACAAGTTACACACGACAAAAATCGGAGATGATTAACACGGCAAAAACTAAATTAAATGTTACACGGCAACGTATTGAACCGATCTTTATAAACATGAACCTCTTCACTTTTCCCTTTCGTTGTGAATATGTGAGATTTACTCTCCAAGGGTGGTGTATTGAAATTGGTTCCATCCTTCTATCTTCTCGGCTAAGTGTTCCAGATTCTTTGCAAGATATTTCTTCTGCTCTTGTAACGTTGCTTTCCTGGAAGGTCAACTTACATAATACGTCCAAAGGGTCTGATTCATTTCGTCGACAATCATTTCGTCGAACCCATTTCGTCGAACCCATTTCGTCGAATGTTCATTTCGTCGAAAATTATTTCGTCACAAAAAAAAACTTCATTAAACAAATTTCTCCTCACACTTCCCACACACACCGCTTTCCTCACCTAATTTCTTAACTAACTTCCCACACTCCTCACATCTAACTCGTTCGGTCTCTGACTCGAGGATGAAATAATTTTCGATGAAATGAACATTCAATGAAATGAACTTTCGATGAAACAAACTTTCGATGAAGTAAACGCGACCGATTAGACTCAACACATGATATCCAAAGGTAATACGTCAAAGTGAGAAATTTTTTCGAATCTGTAATTTTTTGGATAAAAAAAGCAAAACCAGGATTAAAAAATCAATTAAAAAATCCGCAAGTTTCAATAAATTCATAATAAAAATGTATTCGCATAATCCACTTCTGCTTCCAGATACAATTGCAATAATCGTTCTAAACTCTCATTGGTTGGTCTTAGTATAGCTTTATGCATTAATCATACTTGGAATAAGAAAGCGAAACTTGAATTGCATATGAGGCGTAAAAAGTTTAAAAATCAATATTGGAGAACAGTATCAGTAAGATATATGGAGATACAACTTAAACATCAGGAAGAAGAGGGTAAGTGATTTAGCGACTACATGGGTACTGATGACTATAAAAAACACAACAACAAAATGAGATTTTTAGATGCACCAGGAAATTAATTTAGCGTAAACTTGCATAAATCTTACGATGCCGACGTAATATTGTGTAAATCTTACAGTGCCAACGTAAGTTTTACACTTTTTTATTATTAAACTTACAATTGACACGTGTAAAATTTTTTTATATTTTCCGGATGTGGGAAATGTAATGAATTCTTCTATGAACTAGTAGAAGTAAAAAGATGCATGTTACGAAATAAATTATCAGAAAAAGAGAAAGAGGCGATGTATTAAATCGTATTTATCATGTTAATAAGAGTGGGTGGTTGTATCCCTGGTCAGAATATGAAATAGAGGAAACAATTAATCCTATAGATTATGAACTTAATATACTTTTCGACGAGACAGAGATTTGAAGTTCATTGTAGAATAATGAATGAAATCCAGTGTTTTCGACATGGCCTATTTACTTGAAAAGTATCTTAATAATGAAGATATAATAATAATATTTAAATCAAAACTTTTTAGATTCAAATAGGTAATAAATTTTTAGCTACTCAATCCACATATAATCCTGGTTTCACTTTTTTATCAATTTTTCGATTCAGTAGTAACCCAAAGTATAAAAAAAAAATTCAATTCCAAAAATAATAACTCAATACCTGGACGTACATAGGGAGTTTTTGTGTTGCCTGATTTTGACCAAAATAAAAATTGGTAGTAATCCAAAGTATTTTTTCAGTAGTAACCCAAAGTGTTTTTTCAGTAGTAATTCAAAGTAACCCAAGTATTTTAGTGTAACAGTATAACAAAGCATACAAGAAGGGCTTCCAGAGCTCCAAAACATATTGTCCTCATGGTAGTAACCCAAGGTATAATTATTAAATATATAATAAAAATTATGCTTTGGGTTACTACCAAGTGAAGATAACACTTTGGCATTTTGTACCTCATCCTCAATCTGTATTCGAATGCATCACGCAAAACCAGATAATGAGTACTATTTCAGCACTGTGTGCCTCAACCCGGCATTCAAATACAACGTACAAAGCCAAATACAGATTGCCAATTTGGTGCTCCATTGCCTCATCCTCGCAATCGAAAAAATTGGCAGTTCGCCTAGGAAATGTGGTATTATTTATAGTGGTATGGGAGATTCGTATTTTTTACGAATTAGTTTTTTTGGTCAAGAGGTGGGGATAGAGGTTCTATTTATACATTTTTGTATCAATTTATTAGACTACTCGATCAATGCTCAATTTGGTTATGAAATAGTCTATTTTATGAAAAGTTACAACATTACGCATTTGCAAGCTAGGACGCTTTGCATCCAGTTCTGGCATAGCTCTCACAATTGGCACGAGATATATGAACGTTCGAATGTGGCCAAAAATTCAGAATTGTCCACGTCGTTATCCTGATGATAGTTCGCATGTGGCCTTATGACAAAAATTCACCACCATTGTATGTAAGTAGATACATAGTCTAATCCTAGTAGATACATAGTCTAGCTAAGCAGAAACATAATCTATTAGTTTATATTTCTACCCGACTTATGGTGAAACCTTTTGACTTTTGCAATTCTCTAGTTTTGAAAACCAACACTAGTTAAAATAAGAAAACATCCCATTTTAATTATAAATCTTTGTTTCAGTAGGTGAAATGAAGCCACATTCACATTATCGGCTAAATGCAAGAGAATGGTGAGTAAAAGTGAAACATGACTAAATTGATTTACTACCTATTGAAATCTTTGTGATTATAATTTATTGTCATCATAATTTGCTTTAGTGCTGTTAACTTTATTATTATTATTATTATTATTATTATTATTATGATATAACAGTTGATTCATAATGAGCAGGCATAAGAATTTTTCATATTTAAAAGAAATTTTATCAAATAACATAATTACATAAATAAAATATTTTTAAAAAATTTGTTTTATATACTTAATCAGTTATTAACTGGTTTCAACCTCTGGATTAAAAACATAATGAAGAGCTTTATTAATCCATCAGAATAATGTTATTTCAAAAATCTTAATAATATTATGCAAATACACTCCCCTACCATAAATATCCGACCACCTGATGATCATTTAATAATCGGAAATGTTACGCCTTATGCAGTTCAAAGTTTTATTAAAAGTTAATTTGCATATAAACTTAAAGTCTCGTCGAGTTTACATTATTAATGAATTTAGAATGAAAATTTTAAATTAGACAAAAAATTCCGTGATTTTTATGAAAACTTTGAGCTTAGTAAAAACCTTTAAAACTCTGTTGAATCATGGATTACGTCATTAAGTAAGTCCGCTTAAAATATCTTGAATT